ACCCATGGCGGCACTTAGCGATGATTGTTGACTTTTGACCAATGAGAGCAGAGGAAAGTTCGTTGTTGAATTATAATTAATGCAGATAGCTACAACATGTATCTAATAGTAAAAGTAAAGAAGACTTTTCATATCATGACATTTCAAATATGGGTGAATTTTGTTTTGTTTTTGTTTTCTTATATTTATTATTGTTGATGGATATGAGGCAGGTATTGTTACTAAGGAAGGCAGCTTTTGATAGGCAGTCATATATTGAGAAAGATAAGGTAGGATAAATAGATTAGTCCATTGATTATAAATAACCTACAGTTAGTAACATGTAAGTGATTGCATGTTTTTATTAAATTATTATCAGTTAAAGTAGATTAAACTTCATTAGACATTTTCATGTATTACTTTGTACACTTTTTAGCTTAAATTCTGAAAATTTTATTTTGGTACAGTATACTGTAATTAGTTGTTCACAAAATAGTTTTGTAYGTAAAACAATGTTTTTAATTAGATATATTCCTATGTAATCTGCTTTTTAACTATAAAAGCTTAAGAAAGTCCAAATCTAATAAATTATGAATATACTTGTCATTTTTAAATCCTTTGAAAACTCAACTTTCTCTGTGCAAAATGGCCAGGCTAAACAGAAACTTATGCTACTTGTAACCATTTATCAGAAATCTTTATAATCCTTTCTAACTAGCAGCATCAGCCATGAAACTCAAAATACCACTGTTTGCACTTAGTTGCAACATGCACTTTACTGAAACTCACTAACAAAATCATGAAAAATACTTCACACACTTAACTAATCAACTTTACAAAGTTAAGTGGACCTTTGCATTGAAAGATTATTTTAATATCGTTCGTGTCAGATGAGCAAATTTTCTATTAAAAGATAAATTTATAAATACATTTGCACTAAACTCTAGTTGAAACCACTTCAAGGGCTCAATTTTCTGAGTTGAAAAATTATGAAAATTGAAGAAAAATGTGGWAAAGATCTTAAAGCATGTTTTAACTTGGCATGAACTGATTTGCATGTATCTCAAAGTTTAACCTTTTAAATCAAGTGGCTGTGAAGTATACTCTAGCACTACACTGTATGAAACTGAAATCTTTGTAAATCAAGACGTCAACAAAACACAACAAGAGTTTCTAACAAATTCTGTTGCAAACAATGGTAAAACAACGCTGCATTTACGTGGTACACCACAGAACTTTGTGATGAGAACWTATTTTCCACTACTGTGTAAAAGCAGCCAAAGTTTGACTTGAAACAGCAAAGTTTCTGTGAAGCTGGCAATAATTCACTGCTCCAAGGAAGATAGAGACAAGCTGGGTTTCTTTGGAACAATGACAAGTGCTTTGATATTGTGCCAGACTCACAGTGTCTTTTGGTTCTGTTTCAGATGAATTCATGGTTGATGCTGGCTCTAAAACTACAGCGCTCTGTATCTCCTAAAGCGATGTTCTCCACCCTAGTTTTACTTATTTATGTCTTTGTTAACTTGGGCTCTGTTATTAAATCGTTYGYCTTAGTTGGGCTGTGCCTCGGTGTCTCTTGGATTCTTACTAATAACTAAATACATCTGCGAATAGATGTTCACAAATATAATAGGAAATAATACTTGTAGTGATAGCAATAATCTTAGATACAAGTAATACTAGCCCATTTATTAATATTTTAGATTATACAAATTAAGCGTAATTTTTGTGCTCTTAAATCACTTGAATATTATTAGTATTAATACAATTACTATGCTAATATATCTGAATCATATACTAGTGCAATTATCTTTTTCAGACTATTGGTATTTTTTTACTGTTGATTGCTATTTTTTAATGATTATTTTAACACATCRGAGATTGTTTAATCAAAATGAAATATTAGGTAAAGTCAAAGTTGAAATTCAGCTAAAATCATGATAATTACATATAGATCTTAAAGTTATTATTCAAATTCTAAATACATCATAAAGTCAATACTATATTTAGCTTTACTTCCATGTATTTAATACTAATAACAGATTATAAGGGTGCACTTTTAGAATATACATGTATTTAAGGCACTTACGTATGAGTATTTTGTATTTATTTTTTGTACACATAGATTAGATAAATGAATAATTTAGATTACTTTATTTATTCATTCATTAAGTAGATTAGATTATAATATTTATGTAGGAAGTATTGTATAGGTTTTGTTTAGATATTTATTTATATATTAGTCATAGTGGTATTATTTATTTTTGATTGTGTATTCACAAAAATAGACTATGAATAGCAATGAGAAGTGCCTTGTGTCCAAACTAAGCACCTATTGTCCTTGCAAGAGGCATGATTTTACTAAGGTTAACAAAYTCTTCATTGTAACTTCATAGTTAAAATTGTATATTTAAGTAATTTATTAGAAGCGTTCGCTTGTAAAACTGGTCTTTAAGATCTATTATGGTTGTGGATTAAGGGAGTGTCCTAATGTACCATCAGAACTTAATTTATCTTATTTATATTTGTTTGATTGAGACAGTTCCTTAAACTTCTCCAATCCAAGTAGCATTTTTCCAGAAGTACTTCCATAAAATATTTGCTATGATTGGTTACATCTTGCAATTATTGGTTTACAGCYATTTTGAATTAAGAAATAGCTCAGCAGTGGTATAAAAACCACTGCTATAACTGATAGAAATTAAATACTTTTTGCTTCATTCTGTAGAATTGTGGCAAGCTAATACTAATAGTTACTCAATAAATTACAATTGTCAATCTAAACTGTTCTCTCATCTTTTCAGTCTCTCACTATTTAGAATCTGTCATTATATAAGTTATAGATACAAAAGAGAAATAAAATGCTTCATTGATTTTACTCTCAGAGCAGAATATTTTGATTATTTTAGAGATTAAAAATGTAAACTTGCAGGTCATGGTTTTATTGCTCTCATTTCAAAGAGTGTAAAAACCCAAATTTGTGAAGTTTTTCTTGTTTTGTTTATTTTCTTTTTTATAATTGCAATTATTTTGACCTCAAGGAATTCTTATCAATTGAGTTGGAACAACGTAAAAAGAAAGAGGAAGAAGAACGACTTATTGAAGAAAGGCGTCGAGCTGCAAGAAAACTCCATCGTGATCAACAAGAAATAATTCAACAACAAAAAGCTGATACAAGACGYCGTACATTAGATAATACCAATGGCTATGACAGAAGGTAGGTTTGGGYTAACTACACTGCTAAATAAATGTAGTTGCTCTTRCACTCAGCAATATGTTAACTAA